TGAACTCAAACTGAAATTGGAAATATTCAACTTGTTATCGCAGCAAGTGGCAATATTTTAAAGATATTTTATATCTGTATTTCTTCCTTCAAAATGAATGCTTTCATATTTCTTGGCTGCACTCTGTTATTTAGTTATTATTGCCTATAATTTTTTAAGAATTATAAGAATCTCGCGAGTCTATATTTTGTGTGCCAAATCGCATTCCGTTCTGTCTTCTGCTTGAATAGATAAATCTTAGATGGGACAAGGTCACTCATCATCATCAACATCGTCATCTCCTTAAAAAGTGCTCGTCTCCCAATTGCATGCCGTAATCCGTTTAATATGACACGATACACGGCCAGCTACATATAACCAGCCACGCTCTAAATGGATTATAGAGAATGATAATTGTATTCCTTCTATAATAACAATCCCATCAGAATCATATTTGGATATGTGAATAGCCGAGAGTGTGGACCCACATAAAAACAACAATATCCTTCAAATAACATTGAAATTTTTTAATGTTGCTTTGCATCACCAGTTGTAATTTGTAATGCATCGAATCAAGCCAATCTTTTATTTTGGATGTACATACATAAAGAAACAACAACGTTGTATGTTAGCGTATTACGACGACGACTGGTCAGCATACATATTGCATACATAGGCACGACATACATAGTCGGTTCGCATATTTATGGCAGGAGCAGTAACAGTCTTTTCCTCTTTGTTTCACTTCATGATGCTCACCAGTCGTAGAATAATTGCGAATGCGTGAAATTGCAAGATGAGAATAAATAAGGATAAGCACTAAAAGACAGAAAAGAATATATAAACGTTGTTTGACAGCCGCTTATTTCTTTGCGAAAAGACATTAACAGATCATGACACGATACCGTGAAAGAAAGATTCTGTAAAGCTGTCCATTATCCGCTATACATCTGACCTGGACTTTGGTCGCAGAAAATGATAATTCTTTCGTCAAATGTACATATACTCGCCTGGTATATGCATTTCGCATAACGTGCATCTTTTGCAGACTGACGACACAGTTTTTGGACCATTTTCAAATGCATATAAATATGTAAATATGGCCTTGGTTGCAAAAATGCGTCAAACATATCAAACACGAAAAATCAGCACATCGGTAAAAATGTTTTGTAAGCAGATCCGTTTTCGATTGACGTTGTTTTGGATGAGATGCGGTTCTGGTTGTTTAATTAGGTCATAAAAATGTCAGCAGATTATTAAACTGCAGATAATTTAAGCGAGTTTGTATTTTTGTTCCGAATTAATAACAACAACAGCTCGTCAATTTTGAAATGAGTTATTAACTGTTTAAATTTTAAACGGAATTAGTAATTGTTTTAATTTTAATGTGGTACGCTGCGGCTGGCATAAAATATTGTACTAGTTCATTAACATCCTTTGTGAAAAGTTGTAGCAAATTAAACTAGTTAGTTGCTCTTTCTTTGTGTGCCTTTAAGACAAAGACAATGATCACCCCGAGTGAATGGGCTGGTCAGTTTTATTTTTATTTTTATTATTATCAACTATTCAAATGCACCTTGTAACTTTCCTTTGTTTTTTTTACTCTACGCGTTGCGTTGTTGTTGTCTACTCCCTGCTTGTCGATAAATTGAAAGTCGCAACAAGTTGCTGCTGCTGGTAAATAAGTGGACAATAGATAATTACATAAAGGGAAATGAATGAATTGCAGGTGGGATTATCTGTCAATTTTTGGTCATTATCATCCACGCCGTGCAGTATAGAAAGAACTTGCAGAAGTAAATATACAAGTACTCATCGGCAATTTGCATTTTCGCTTTTACAACCACTTATGCAGTTTGTTAATACATACAATTCTCTGATCTATCGTCATAATAAGTTGTAAATTATATTCAGCAAAAGTCAGATTGGAACCTTGCGTGTTTCATTCATTAAACGAATTGCTTACCAAATCTTAAAATTTGGGCAGATGCATGCACGCGATTTCACTGAATGCAGTAGGCAAACAGACAGAAAGAGAGAATTATTAGCAACTTCGTGAAATGTAAATAAGCCGGTAAACTAAATAATAATTTTTTTTACTTTTGTCTTACTTATTTAACTGGATTGGAAGCTGCATAACGTAATCGAGTAAAAAGGCAGTAAAGCAATTGTGATAAAGTCAAGGTGCTCCTTCTTTCTTTCCTTTAGCGATAAAGAATATTTTGCGCAGTTGTCTTGTGCTTGTTAACTAACTGACAGTAAACAGCACCAGCAGCCTGAATACTTACCAGGTGAAGTCACACGTTATGATATTTTATGGCAATTATTTTCCAGCTTTAGGGTATGGGTTGGCTTTTGTTGAGCCAATCATGCGAAAAACTTGTGGACTTTTCATTTTTATACACAGGTAAGAAAGAATAATAACCCACATGTCTTTTCGGATGGATGTGATCCCTTGTATGAAGGATTTGCGAAACGGTCGCAACTTTGCGAGGGAAAGAAACCTGTAAGGTGTTTAGCAACATGTTGTTCAGTCTTCTGGTACAAAGAAGTCGTCAAATGCATAGGGGAGCGTATGTAGGTAGATGCACGAGTTTGTTCTTCATTGTCAAAAACGGTTTGATGCCAACTGTTTTCATTTTTTCCACTCCAGAGGCAGTTTTGCCTCTTAATTGCTGTTTATTGATGCTTTCGATATGTTTATTGTTTCGAGAGTAAGTTTTATGCGGCTGGACGACAAACTGTGCAAAAAGCATGCGAAAAGTTCCCTCCTTGGTTGGTTCACGAGTATTGAAAGTATATAGTACAATTCTGCACCGTTTGTTTGCTAAACCATAAGGATACAGATATGTTTTTTGTTCTTGTAAGGAGGAGGGAGCCATATTACAAGGATTATTTATGTATGTGGGCATACCACAAAATTCATACGTACAACTTTATTATTACATTACTTTTACACTATGGCAGTTATTGTTTGCTGATTAAGTTTTATATTTAAAGAAGCTCAATTTAAAATGCCATCTCACGTACATGCCGTCATATATGCCACCATAATACCTGACTGAATTACCTCATACATACATACATATATACGTATCCTGCAGAAATTGCCAATTTGAGTTTTGCACGACGACACAAAGTGGCGGTAAGTATACAAAGGATGTATGTGCGAAATACATATTGAGGAGATGAGATTTTACATTTTACTTTTGCGAGGTTAACATCACAACATACATAATTGGCTAATCCTTCCTTACTTATGCGGGGCTGATGTCTACATAACAGCCCAACAAAAGAAAAGGTTTAACCTTTTAACATTTCGCAATAATGTTTGACTGTTTGACTACCAAAATTAATAGCTTTGAGATGGGTTTAGGCTCGTCTTCCTTCGTCGCAAAAATTATTCACTCACAAAGAACAGGGTATTGAATTTCAATTCTTTTTCTAACCAAGAACTGTCCAAACAGTTTTGGCTTTGGACATCTCGGCATCCATTTCCATATTTGTCGAGTAAGTACATACGCAAGCAAGGTGAGATGGTTCTCAGTAGGCAATATGCACAGGTGGAAATGGAGATGAGTTTGACAAGTAAGTTGCAATATGGACATCACCACAGTCTCACCCTCGCCTTGCATTACCTGTCCTGTAATTTAATCCAATGACGAATTACTTTTCTCAACTGTTGAGAAGATTACATAATAAGATAGATAATTTCTTTGGGAGGACGAAGGTCACAGCTTGTGATTCAATTTAAAGATTCTTCACAATGATTATGAACTACGTACATAAGTTCACAACGATATTATTTATTACGGAAATTAGGGATAGATTTGTATTTTTCCGTTGTGAATAATGAGGACAAACCTCTCTGTTGTATGCAAATATCAATTAATCGAAATTCAGCGGAAAAAGATTCGTCATCTAGCTGACTGAGATTACGATAGTTGACATATTTACACGTCTTGAAAACATGACTTATGCATTATGAGAACAATTTGTCCCACACTTTCACTTCACGATATCTCTCAAACTTTACATAATCCCGTCTTTTTCTCGACTCGAGACTAATGATGATTGCGATTTTTAATCCCATACTGCATGAATATTAATGTGATTATATCATTACATTAATAACTTGATGGATTGGATGTGTATGTACATGCAAATTAAAATCTGGAATGATTGATTGTCTTCCGTACCACGACGTCACTGTTTCTGCCATTATATGCTTAACCATAATAATTGGTGTGTCTTGGGAGGTACGACGTTTCAAATGTATGTACGTACAGACACTGCAGATCGTCAGATAAAGGCAGGAGGATTAATAATTTTAAGGCTGGGCTGGGCGGTGGAAAATGTGAATCTGCTGAATCTCTTGGGAAAATTGTGTGTACACAGAGCAGGAAAAAAAACTTGGTTAATCGATGATGTTTAGTTTTTAATAATCATCCATCCACTTGCCTCTCGACTGACTCCATACGCAGAATTAAATGAAATGAGACAAGACACCGAGACGAACCAATAACCATCGTGTCGTCCATTATCCTCGTATTATCTCCACTCCATCAACGTCTGAGCCGAGTCAAGTTAAGGGATCTTGTCATTTATGAGGACATACGAGATCACACTGCGCCACAGCTAGAAAAAAATTGAGCCAAGGTATTATTGTACTAGAATGGACTTGGAGAGACGATAATATTTAGGGAATTTTTCCTCTCCTTTGCCTGCCTAATAATGGATCGATTTCTTTTTACGCAGTTTTGGGTACGTACATACATATTTAGTAATAATGTGGATGGATGGATGGAGAGGAAGTTCTGCGTAAACACACGTATCCATTACGTGGTGTGACAGGTTAGGTTATTGGTACAGCTCATATCTATCTTGGTCTTGTGGTTAGGAAAGTATGTGGATTGGGAAACGAACCGGAAATTAAGGAGATGAAAATATTATGGAGTGGAATTGGATGTATATTCATATTTTGGGGACAAAGTAATTGTAAACTAATTTCCATGCAGGCCTTATCTTGATATGAATTGACATCGCTTTTATTTCTTGTTTTCCCCATATTCTATACATACACAATTGGGTAGAGGATACTCTGACTCGACATATATATTTTTCTAAAAGAATCGCAGGCAAATTACAGACTGTAAAGTTATAATTTCATACGGGATACTCAAATTTTTTAGAAGGTGACAAATTTCCAGACGAGAATTGCCAGATTGCCAAGATAGAACATGTACATGATGGACTTCTGGTCATAAGTGACATCAAATCCATAGCTCTGTCCGATGACGCAATGCCACAAAGGTTCATACAAGCGGTCAAACTCTTGCTTGATGTACTGACACGCTTTCTACATAATTCGAAATTGAATGTTGAAAGTTGCCAGAGAATTATAAAGTGACGTGTGCTACTCACTGGCAAATCTGTCGTGAATCGGTCCACGGCTGACATTATGGTGTCCATCATCTCGGTCTCAAACTGTTTCGGGATTTCTGACATCTGCACAAAAAAGTTACGAAGATTTAGATTTCCTGATTGAATCGAGCATAAAAGTTATCGTCGTCATCAGACATACACAGATAAGCGGGTACTGATACTTGGATTCTTCCCCTGCCTCTGGAACTTCCGGTTCGTTGGTGGCAGGAGTCGCTTCCTTCTCATCTTTTCCCACAGGCTTTGCTTTTTTCCACTCCCAGTTCCACATCTCCTTCTGAACCTTGTTTCCTTTCCCAGTCATTTTCCCACCGATTTTTCCTTACGAAAAAAGAAATATAAAAATATCTATGTGTATCCGCTTTTGGCATGAAATCCGTTTAGCAGGCGAATTTAGAAAGAATTTAGCGACGTCAAAATACTTTCTTCGTTGGCTTGTCAGATTATGAGTTGTCTCCATGACGGAAACTTTGTAATCTAAATTTCTAGAAACCTGCCGCAATCTTGCCGTCTAATGATGCGTAGTAATGTCTCCCATTCTCCTGCATGCATATATTTCATGGTGTTGATACATTTGTCCAATTGTGTGGCAGATCCTGCAATTAAAGTGTGCAACAACATTAGGATGCGATAATGTTGGCAGTAATTTTTTCAACTTTAAGCTAAACTGTCAGCACAATAGTTTGAGTTTGAATCCATCATTCATCATCCTCACGTACGGACGAGGAGACGGCCGTGGAGAGAGAGAGGCTAAAATCATATATAATTGTATTATATGGGCACCTGTCATTTTTATCTCGTGAATTGTCTGCTGAATGACAGTAAAAGCAAAAGTTACGAACGCATGCATAGCAATATATGCAGATAATACATACATAAATGGGGGTTTATCTATAATAGCAAACCTCCGGCATAAAATTTGCAATTTGACTCTCGCATCCATCCTCTGACCGCATGCATATTAAACTCTGACTTAACCATTAACCACCAAAAGAAAGGTAATGCAACAGCCAAAATTATTTCGATAATGGCAGCAATTATACGAGAAGAAAGAGTTGTGTTAAATAAAAAGCGCAGCGGTGGATATGATTTCTTCATGGTTTTCGAACTTTGACCTCTCTTTGCAAGTTAAAACTATAGGGAAGCATCAGAATATGTAATTTGTGCAAGCTTTGTTCACAATCACGTCTTTACATTGTTGGCAAAATATGAGTGAGTGAGGGGACTACGTACGTGAACTTATTTAATATTTGTGTATGTGCACATTCATATGTAAAAGGATTTAGCAGGGATTAGTTTGGCTTTTGCGGTGAATTTTGCTAATTTTGTAATAACTTTATTCATTCATATGTGAATATTATTTATTTGTACGGGGCTTCATAAGTCTTGGAGTTAATCTCCCCATCATAATTTTAATGCAAGTTCCTCGCTAAGTTCGTCAGGTCGTGACTGCAAGAATAAGCACTCATTCACAAGATAATAGGTGATAAAAAAATGAGCGAATCCACTCGCTTCTTCTTCCTTTAAGAATACCAATGAGGCAGAGGTGATTTTTTTACGAATGAACCGTTTGTATACATAGTTTTAGCAAGATGTGTGCATACGTATTTCTCCCTCCAGTCTAGGAATTGAGGAAGAATGAAATGAATGATCTATTTACTTACTTACTTATCTTAGGGTTTAGTTTATGAATGGAATAAGAGAGAGACGTCTGCAGCATGACTTTTCCTACTCGGACAGTACATAAACAATGACTCGGTGCTTATTTATTTGTTTAAGAAGACTGTAAAAAAATCTTTATTGCCTTCCTGATCATATAAACATGGTCCATATCTACTCTTATCCTTATTCTTATGTAGGTACATATGTATCTTATTATTCCTTCCCTCAGAGAAAAATTTTAAAATACTGCAAATTGTACATGTGTAATTTTTGCACGTTTTTTTGTACAAAACGGAACACCACCTCGGTCACACAAAAAATGAGACCCAGTTTTTCATTCATCCGTGCGAAACAGAAAGGAAATTCATTAGTCACTTTCTTAATTAATTCATCCTTAGTGTCTGATGTCAATCAGCCTGCCGACAACGTAATTAGTTAAGAAGAATTAGGACTAGGAGACAGACAAAAAATTAGTTTTTAGTGGATGTACTTTCACACTGAAGACAGACCGACCTGGTTTGTTTGTGACTTTCAATTCCTTGTTGTTTGTTGATACACATATAAGAACAAATTGCAATAAATATTTATGTGCCAGTAAAACTGGCTAGTTTATGGTGTCTAGGTCAGGTAATCAGGTTTTTATACACTGCTCGATAGGCTTGATCGTGCTTAGCCCAACATTTCAGCAAATAAGGAAATTCAATTAGTTATAATAGCACAATAAAATCGATATCGAATAAGTTGCCAACCGCACAAAAGGGTTTAAAATATTCACGACGCTGTATTTTTTGGTTGTGGTTAAGCATGTTAGATATATATATATTCGCTCAGAAAATTATTCAAATCCGTCGATCGATTCAATAATACACTGATTAAAGTGCAACACACACATGCAATCGTGCACATTCAGCGTTTTATTTGGTTAAGCAGTTAGAAAAGAATGTGCAAGTGAGCGCATATTCGCTAAATAAATCTGTGGATGAGTGAGAAATGTGGGTCAATCTTATTTTTCGTCAGTCATATAATAATCTCCTCAGACCAAACCAATCACTCATCTCGTCTTAGATTCGCCAATAAATGTGCAGATTTATTGCACATTATTATCACTTTATAACCCGTAACTAACCAGTGACTCGTTATTACGCTGTATTCAATTCGGAAATGGAGCTGGTCTTGCAATTTGGGGCTTAAATTTTGTGATAAATTTTACTCTTTTCTTTTCCTTATTCTTATTTTACTCTGCAGACAAAAAGTTGAGAAAACATTGCATCCGACACAAAAATAGGATACGATTGTTACGGAGCGATATGTATTTGTTGATGGATATCTACTTCTTCTGTGTGTGCAGTACTTTAGAAAGCTTTTGGTCGTTAGCTTCATTCGGCAATGTGTTGATTGAAACGAGAAGCGAAGGTTGATAAGTATTTGAGTTTAAACTTTTTTTTGCATCTTTTCTCCTCGAGTTGAGAAGAGTTGTTGGTTTTATGAGTCGCAATAATGGAGTGCACGTGGAGGTTTTGGCGATCATATCGTTCGTGGAGCTTTGAAGCAGTAAAGTTCCCCAGTTTTGTTTCTGGAGGAGACATCACGGGTAAGATTAAAGTGAAGAATTTAGAAGTATGTATAACTCGATCCGTAAAAATAACTTTGACCACATTCTTATCCAATTTTTCAGTAATGAAGTCATCAAAATGACTGCGTAGGTACATATCTTTCTTCCACCCCCACAAAAATGTGTGCAAACAATGGAAAACGTGTGTACGTGGGTTTTGTTATTTGATGACCCGTTGTTGCCCATTGTTAAGCTAATGCATCCAGAATTTGGAATGTAATTTGGAAAATGCGTTCCATTCTCTCCTGCCCACATTGTGAGGAGGACTGACACAGTAATAAGAAGACCACATTATTATAATGTAGGTAATGAATAAAGGTTTAGAAAACTGATTGCAGTAAATTACACAGGAAATATTTATTAGAAGGAGCCCATAATAACATTACTTAAACCGGTGTCAAGTGAGAGTACGTATGTATGACACCATTGTTTTGATCCGTTTATTTATCGAACTGAGAATTTCACTCAACACCACCGTTTTTTATTAAGCTCGACACAATGGTAACCTATTTTTTAATACATGCGGTAAAAAAAAAGACAGTCAGTTTACAAAGTGTAGTATTCGTTTGCCTGGTGAACTGAAGACGAGGACGAAGAAGAGCATGCAAAAGTTTAAATTGCTTGTTGATGAAGCCTGAGTCTGAGCCATTGTTCCATTCCACCGTGTAATCAGATAGATGATGATGATGGGATTCGAATGTAAATTGCTAAAAAGTCTGTCTAACTTGATGCGTTTTATTATTATTACATATGCAGATCTCGGCTGGCTGGCTAGTTTGTGGGGGTCGTTTTGTACTGTGTGCATATTTAAAAATGAGGCTTGATCTGCTAGCTGGTTTGTCTGTGTGAGGTGGTCTCTAGTCTTTACGAGTGAGTATTATTGTTGTCAGCAGATTCAATTTTGAGAGAGGGACTTGAGACGAGAAGGAGGACAAAAGATAAGACTTGGCCCCCTTGACATCTAATAAATCTAATTCAATTGAATCTTGTGGATGAATGATTTGTCGTCATTTTTCCTTTTGTTCCAACTGAGGAGTAATGCCAGGCATTTTTACGAGATATGTGTGGGAAGATTGTACGAAGGGAAAATAAAGTTGAGGTGGATTTTTGACGTTCTTTAGTTAAAATTGTATTTGTACATGCTTGATTTGGCTACCTTTTCCTACTTGCGATTTGTTAATTGCCGACTTTGAATTTTATTCCGGATTGAATTACCTACATGCTGCCTTCCATGGCGTTATTTCTTGTACGTGACCCTTCTTCGCTCCCCGGATGCTGAGAGTTGTTAAGTTGTTGGTTGGTCGCAATTAAGTCGTTCCTACAAAGCTCATTGTTCTCTAGGTATGCATATATGTAGGTAGGTGTATTATGGGTAAATCCTGCACCGTGAAAATCACGGGTTAATTAATAGTTTACCATTTTTTAAGAAAAACACTTAATTGTATTCATTTCCTTAATCACAATCACGTTTCACAAGTGACAGTTATTGAGTTATATAGATCTCACGTCCTAAAGAAAAGAGGATACATACATGTGCAGTAAGCATATAAGTAATGAGGACGGAGCAGTAATTTAATAAACTGTATTCGTATTCGTGTGATTTTCCGAAAAGTTTAATAAAAAAGGTGCCGTGTTGATCCATAAAAGCAAAAAAAAATTAGGCCATTCTGTGTCAACGATTCGAGAGTTGAAGTGAAGATTAACGAGATCAAATACACCTCGATTCGATCGCAGCAAATATTTGGACAATGCCAGAATGCACACAGTGTTTTCGACTGTTATTTTGGGATATGGGAAAATATTTGGACTACATAAGGCCAAAATGTATTAGGCATGTACATATAAATTGGGTGGGGTTGGTATTGAGGATAGTACTATACGTACAATTACACAAGTCTCACATTTATGTACACACGTTAAGTTCGAATGTGCAGTCTTATCATATAGTAAATAAAGATAAGTGCAGACGACGAGTCATCATAAAAACTCGAGTAAATCACCATATATTGATCGTGTCCACATATATAATGGAACTCATTTTGTCGTCGTCGACTTTCCCCAAATGCAGCTAAAAAAAACCTACAAATATTGACCGTAGGTTAGTTTATTGTATCCGTCGATTTAATGTCTCCTCGTTCTCTCTTCGTTCCTTCTTTCCTGTGCAGTGAACCACCTGCCAGACTTTCGAAACATTATTTTTTCTATTCATTCCCAGTTCAAAGAAATGTTATTATTTTTCTACAAAATAACAGCAGATGACAATTTATTCTCTTTGTAGTAGTAAATAATCGACATTTATGCAGCTTTTTGTACACGGAATTCATATAAAATCCGGCCATACGTATGTAAGGAAAAGTACAAAGCAGAATTCTCCTGATTTTTTCTTCTTCTTCTTTTTCCACTATTATCACGGTTCAATTGTCCTCCTGGGCTCCTGATTCCATGAATTATCCGAAAGTGGGTGGATTGGACTGGATTTTGCAGGATCGATGATAGATTTATTCCGAGCTGGATAAAAAAAATGAACATGGTTTAAATTTCGGCACGTTTTATTTTGCAAAAAAAGTCAAAGAAGTTCTTTCTGGGAAAAATTTTCAGCTGTCGGCTCTCATAATATAAAATATACTAGTACATATATATGCACCAGTGCAAGGTTTTTTAAGGTTTGTATCCCCTAAAGAGGATTTATTTTTCACGATTATTGCTAAAAAAAGTATCAATTTGTCTCTCCATTTCAAATCCACTCGTGTATTGATTTTCCATAAAATATCTTTCTTTCGAGGCTATGATTCTCTAACCAGTTCCGATTTTTAGGTCCGTTTCGTTTGGTTGGCTTCCTACACGTATAAAATCGGACGGAAGTGGATGCGGAAAGGAGCGAATGAAGGCAAAAAAGGTGCCTGCCAGCGATGCAATAATGTGGAAAGCTTTCTTTCTCTCTCTCTCTCTCTGCTCTGTTTATGTTATTGCAAATTCGTTAAAGTTTCCGGGAGCTTTCATGTTGTCGAAATTTTTATATTTTTTCCCAAAAGTATGACAAAACGAAACGGAGCAAATGAAATAGTTTTTCTCTTCTGGAGGGAGAGAGACTCGTTAAAAGCAGTGATTCAGTTTGAGTCGCGAGTGTAAGTACTTATCTGGCATAATAAAAGTTAAAGTTTCACTAGGCCAGCCAGCACCATATCCCGACTAATTTGGAAACATATAAATTTCCTGGTTGGTTTTATGGGGAGAAGATGCGCGTCGGATTTTGAGGCTGTTTTCAAACCAAGGGGAGAAAGATATAAATTGTTGTTGCAATAAGTGAATCTCTTTTGGCCACCCAATCGTCATTTCCTTCCTAGTTACTCAAAGAAATCGGCCCAATTTCAATCAAATCTCAATCGTGCAGTAGTAGCAGCCAACAAATTTCGAATGGAGGAATGCAATCTAAAACAGGAATAGCACAACGGTCCAATAAAGTTCAAAGTGACAGGAATGGACAAAATTGGCCTAAATTCCTCCTTCTTGAGGAATGAATCTCTCTCCGTCCCTGAATGGATGGCATGCCAGGCCAAATAAGTCAGGAAACAAAAGGTTGCCTCCTGATTTATAAGTAAAACGACCCCAAAAACAAACACAAATTTGCCCCATTTCACTCACCACTAGCACCACATTGCACACTCTTTTGTGAAACTTTCTCTTTCATTAGGACACAAAAGTATGTAAGGCAGGAGAGGGACTTGATAAATACTTTCTGTCTGCGGGAGGGATGACATTGGCAGAAAACACCAAACCACAAACACACAATTAAGTAATGCTATATAGGAGAAAATATGTATAAACGAGGCAATAAAACCCACTACGCCCTGTCCTCTTGTTTGATGTGGATTGATTAATTTATGATTGGAAATGCAGCCAGAAGCAGTAAGTAATCTAGTTCTAGAAACCTAGTTCGGTCTGGGAGCCATCCATCCTCCACTAACTTCGACTGCGATATTATTAGACTAGACCAAGGTGTTAATCGATATTCAATATTTGCATCTGAAATGTCACTATGTCAGTCAATTGGGGAGAAGGACAAATGGACGAGGGATCAATATTGTGACGTTGCAGGAAAGGAAATTTTGGTGTGTGGACAATATAATCTGATTTTATTTATTTTTGTCATTTACAGGACACTCCTGCTGGTAGTCAGACTCGGTCCCGAGGAGGAGACATGAGACAGGTAATAATCCTTATGCAAATACATACGCTTGTAAAATTATGTGTAAAGAGCGACGTGAAGAGAATCACCTTTGCTTTGCTAATATTTACTCATGTGAAAGAATCCATGATCGGTTAACGCGATGGATTTGTGCATGCGAATGTGTGGATTGTATTATCGACACGTAAATACAATGGAATGGAATGGATTACTACATATTCCTCCACCTTGGTTGCCCGACCCATTCTTTATCTACTGACTGCTCCCCGGTTTAGCAATGGTTTTGGCTATAAATGAATTTTATGTATATGCATTAGATAGGTCTGCAAAGTAGCCTTCTGAACGGCATAGGAAGACATTTAAGCAAAGCCAGTTTTGCAAACAACAACTCTCTCGTCGTCGTCGTATTTGTATTCCATTCTGTATCTGCTGTCCATTCACACGCTCATCATCACGGCAACACCAGTGCTACTGCTGCTGCTGGGGGTTAAATCACGTCACATTCACATCACAAGCTCGACAAGAGCGATTTGAATCTGTTTGTTAGCCAGGGAGCTGGCCAAGTATCTAAAAACTGAAGGCATTTTACACTCGTGGTGGTGTAAAGTACATGTACATTTATCGTGATCATTTTCAAATCAAATTGGTGTTGTTCCGAACAATATTTTGTACGCGAGAAGTTTGTTGAAATGAAAAATTGTTGAGTGATTTGTGGTGTGTTTATAGCCGTAATTTCTGTTAGTGCATCATTGGTTCTGTATATTGGGTTACATACACGTTGAAATTGAACACGTCACAAAAAGTAACGAACCGTATTTCATGGGACGCGTAACAGAATCAATTTTCATAGCTGTCTCTCTTTCTTGATTTAATTTGTGGTTTTTCGTCTCGTCCATCCATCCCCTCCTTCCTGGATTTTTTGATCTGGCTGCTGGACAGAAGAATGGTCATGGAACTCTACTGTTATTGTTGCTGATTGTTATTGTTGTGTGTCACACCACACGAATGTGTGCCTATGATTGAGGCGGATTGGATCCGGTGGGGTTGATTACCTGTAAAAATGTGTGAGGTTGAGGTATTCTTCTCCGCTACGAAGATTTTTATGGACACGGAACTTTAGTCGAATTACGTGGACAATTTCTCAGGGTCGATACAAGTTTTGGAGACGATTTTAAGGCTGCATCTTGTGCGTACAGTGAAGGTGATTGTACATTCTAAACATGCCACTTTTCTTGGTGGTGTTGGTAGTGACGAAAGTTTTAGAATGCAGTGAGCAACAAATTACTCTTCGTGACATGATTTCTAAAGTCCAGCCGTGTTTTAGTTTGAGATGTGTCAAGTTATTAGTAATTTAGATCGGGGTGTAAAAAAACTATACTTGTGAGCGTGTTATTTTGCAATATTAATTAATTGATCTCACTACTGCAAGGAATAATGGAATGGACTGCTCGGCAATAATTTAACATGTCAAATTGGACCCTAAAGCCGGTACTTTTTTTTACAATATTCACTCCCATGCACAATTCTTTCTTTCTTCCTTCTTTCATTCAATTAACTCTTTGACACTTTAATTTGCGAAAAATCAAGTAACTACACATGTCGGCATAATGGTTAACCTGCCTGCCTAATAAGTTTGCCTGTCAGTGTCACTACGCATTAGTATCACATCATTCTCCTTCCAATAAACAATGGAACTAGTCACGTCAAAGTAGAAACGAGGAGGAAAAAGAAGGCTTAAAAATCGCATCGTCAATAATAATAAGAGAACAATCTTTTTCCTTTAAGGAGTTTAACTTGACGTGACACTGCTGCTGTCTTTTCCGAGAAGTCTCAACTTTTCTTCCTTCACATTAAATCTGTCAAGTTTTTATTTTATTTCACGGCAACAACTTGAACTCAAAAGTCCGAAAAGTGCTATAGTCAAAGTTTCAGATGCGTTGTACGAAGTAATACATAACCCATAGACAAACTAATACAACACTTTTACGATTCTCTGGAATCGTATGAAATGTCAAGCACATTTAGTGCAGTCAAGTCGGCAATGTTGTAATAAAAAAGCGGAAGATGTTGTTATAAGCACCACCTTCAGAAGATATGGGAACTGGACTTGAAATAATAAAAAGGAAACAAACCGGATTATTACCACATTCGGTGGGATGAACTCTCTTATGATGTAATATGCAGTACTTATTCGGCTACACGTATCCCCTTGGTCGCTCCGTCGGTAGCAGTTGTACATAGATGTACACCCTTGATAATAAATGGTCTTCTTCTTCTTGGTCGGTTCGCCAAAATCAGCCGCGTCTGTGTCTGAGAAAAAACGGTGTTAAATAACTTATGCAGCTCTGTCTGTGGATGGAGTTGGTGGAAAAATGAGTTATGACACAAATGATGCGTTATGTAAGTAACGTAATGCTTTTCTCGGTCTGCCTGCATTTACTTATGTCTTTGGGAAGGAGAGAGAGAGATGTGCAAGTAAAAGAAGAAACGTGGAAAATGACACGATATCAAGTCTGACTTGAGAAAGCAGAGAAAATGATGAGCAGCAGAGGAATCATATTAATAAAAGAAATCATAAATGACACTGACAAACTGCGAGTGCGAGAGGAGGTTATTATTTTATGAAACCAAACCAGGAGCGAATAATAAGGGATTTGTGCATTATTTATTTGAGCGACTACCCGTAACATAAGAACAATAACAAACAATATGTTAAATAAGTGCAACAAGGGGAGGGAGCGAGATAACTGCACTTTGAAGGATAAAAAATACGTACGTACACCTCGCAATCTCACCTTCCCATCTAACTCTCGCCTTGTTTGTCTTTGTCTCTGTCTTCTTATCGTTGACTTACAAAATCGGAATAAAATGTCATGTTCATGGCAAATTGACTAAATATGGAGCTGATTGTGCATCCTGTTTCGTATAAATCTGACAGGTTTAAATAGAACTCACTGAAATAAATAAGGGTTAAATTCTATTGTGAATTCTATATTGACAACTGTGACACCGTTATCGTTGAAAAAAGTTCAGCAGTATTTTTACCCAATACAAAAGATACAATACCTCTTTGTAATATGAGTCGAATGAAATTGAAATTTTCAATTTGAAAATAATTTACAAACTTATTTTTCTACTTATAGTAACCTGTTTATTCGCATTGATGAAAGTGTGCCAAAACCAAGAGTGCTACTATGATTGAGGAGTACATGCAGCAATTCAACAATTTTTTTGCCTGTTCATCGGAAAAGTGCACTTGACACAAAAATTGGTGTTGTTTCTGTCTAGTGGTGGTGCTGGCGATGATGAATGTAGACAAGTTATGTATGAGCTGAGGAGTTGAGGTGCATATGTGACGTCGAGTGAAGGTCTCGTCTCAAAGATGCTTTTAGATTTTGAAAGTTACAAGAAACAGATAATGTCAGTCAATCGATGGTGCGAGGAATGTATCAGAATTGTGAATTAGACAGTCGACGGACAAATCTCGCCCCTTGACAAAATCGAGAGAGACGACACTCTTTGACTCTTCTGATCTCGCCATGAATTGTCATGGCTGGTTTAAATTGTTAATATCGTCGACACACGATCGATGGTCTGAATCGATAAGATAATTTAAAAGAGGTGGGAGAAACATTAGCTGAATGTTATCTTTTTTTCTGAGGTGGAAGAGCATAATGCGATCTGATCTACATTTTTGGTGGACATTTTTATGCAGTTTTAAACAAGGCAAAGATTTATGGTGATTTGATTTCAAGTTTATAAAGTAACTGGGAGAGGAGACATGCCCATTTGAGACGTATGTATTATGTAGGCTGCTGCTCCGAGTCTCGTAAAATATTGGGCACATAAAACGTAAAATTCCATCCTGAATCGAACAGTTATTAAATTACGCTTTTAGTTTATTTAATACTTCCCGTTTTCCTTGTAACTCCCAATTTGTCCAAGATCCGAATACGGAGATGGATGATTTTACTGCTCGGTCGTCAAAAATTATTCAATCAACCAGCCAGCGTGCGTGCATCTACCTTTTATTTAGTTGGTCATGTCAACTCCACGCTAAACTTTGACCCCACGACGTGTATACATATTTACATTCCTCTCTGTTGAAAACTTATCGTACTCTCATTATCCTGCACTTATAATCGTCTCGAATTTAACTATCTGTGGGTTAGATTAGAGGGAGAGGAATTAAAATTCTAATCAGGAAGGACCAGCCAAGCAACAACCTACCTTCTCCTTCTTCTCCTCTGGCATCACATTTTCAATCAATCAAAAATCTCAAAGATTTCTCCACTCGTAATGATTAGATAGAATTCGTCCCTACTCAAACATTTTCAATTATGCTGGGGTGTAGAGGTGCATGTACATAAGTTCATCTGTAAATGCCACGACTAAAAAGGTAGGCTTAGCACAGGTAACCCTAACGAGCTGTCAATATTCTCGAGAGTTCATGGAGCAATAGCTTAATTTCAGTCCACCCGGTTGGTCGGTTGGTTACATTTTTTTTTCTCAGATTCTTGTCATGATAAAATTGTTGACTTTATGTAAGCAGGGTTTGACAAGAGAATGATAATATTGTTATTGCAAAGAGATAGATGAATGAATCGGAGAAGAAGAAGGAGCGGATGCCTTCACCATAAATAAAATGTGATGTGGATTTGTTTCACTCGCTCGGGATAAAAAAAGCAGAGATTCTTTTCTTGAATGAAGAAGCAGAAGTTGCCAGTCAGTACAATAAAAGAGCGACATGTCCATTACAGAAAGGCTTTTGTAATAAGCTTGTTGTGGTCAACAGGATTGCATATCGCTTGTTGCTTTAGTTCACTCACACTCGTTTAGAGGACTGCATTTTTCTTTGATTACTGCTTGCGGTGGTTTTAAGATGATCCTTTTCATTCATGTCGTGTTTACTTTCAAGTGGTCAAAATTTGAGGGCTTCGTGAATATGATAATATTCAATTAGCAATGGATGATAAAGCGCAGACAAATAGTTTTCCCAGGAACATTGTTAGTAATCGTGG